CAGCGGCGTGCTGTCTTCCCGGCTTCTGTAGTGTGGGCACTGGGCATGACAGCCGGGTGCCAAGTGCGTATGCGCAAGAAGCGGTGCTTTTTGTGAATGGTAAGGCGCTACCTGGGACACATGACAGATCCCAGAAGCCGCCGGACCAATCACAAAGCATAAGTGCTTCTCGCTCATGCGCACTGGGCACCCGGCTGTCATGCCATTACAGAAGCCGGGAAGACGGCGCGCGGCTGGATCGAGGAACAGGTAAGATCAAACAAAAACTCTGCGGAAGTAAGAGCGGGTACCTGTCAAATTCAGGTACCCGCTCCCCACCTCCCCAAAGGTCAGCAGTCATCTGTACTGTCCGCAGTCTCTGGTCATCCCTGTGCTGTCCGCAGTCTCTGGTCATCCCTGTGCTGTCCGCAGTCTCTGGTCATCCCTGTGCTGTCCGCAGTCTCTGGTCATCCCCTGTACTGTGTCCGCAGTCTCTGGTCATCCCTGTGCTGTCCGCAGTCTCTGGTCATCCCTGTGCTGTCCGCAGTCTCTGGTCATCTCCTGTACTGTGTCTGCAGTCCATTAGTTCAGAATTTTTTTTTTCCTGTTTTCTGCCTCTAAAACCTAGGTGCGTCTTATGGTCAGGTGCGTCTTATACGGCGAAAAATACGGTACTTTTCTGCAGCGCCTCCATTGAAGTCTATAGAACCAAAAATGCAACATTTTGCGTTTAAAAAAGTCTCTGACCCTTTCCAAAAAAAATGCACCGGGCAAAAATGCGGAGATGTGAACCTTTCCCATAGGAAATCATGTTAAATGGACTGTAGTGAGTTTCTTTAAAATGCAGCAGAAATGGCATAGGTGTGAACCTAGACTAAACCTCCTAGCTCAGCAGGTTAATTCTCCCGTAAAGGCTAAGTTCACCTTTTGACCAAAAATAATAAATGCAGTTTTTTTGGCAGGTAAAAAATTGTGCATTTCTTATTTTTGGTTGCAGGAGCATGTAAAGCATTGCACCGGTGATCTGCAGATCCCTGGTGTCATGCAAGTCTCCTACAGATCTGTCAGTATATCTGTATGAGAAAGCAGATATACTGACAGGAAGATTCAATAAACTACCACAGTGCCATGGTAGTTGATTGAGACCTACAAGCTGACAGCTGCTAAGTTTGTTGGGACTTGTAGTTCACAAAGGACTGTGAATGAATGAAGCTGCTGTGCGGGCGGAGCTGTTTTTAAAAAGTGACAGCTAGTATGGGGAACTTCTCTCTATACCTCTGCCATGGGGGGTTGGGGGGGGGGGGGCAGTGGCTGCAGCATTGGGAACATGTTACATATTTTACCCTAAAAAGGGGTGGAACATGTAACATGTTCCTAAAGGTGAACGTATCCTTGAAGCGTTCCATAGAAAATTACACATTTTCAAAACAGTGAATTGCAATTTAGCAGCAAATTTCCACTGAACTACTCCAACTTTTTGAAACCATGACTGACCTTTAAAGTACTAAAAATGTTCGAAGTAAAATTACATTTATAATCTATATACTCACGTCATGATTGTGGTTATTGAGACCAAAAACACAAGAGAAGTGACAGTTGCAACAATCAGAAACATACTTGCAGATGCAGGTTCTGTAGAATACATACAAAAGCAAGCATAAATGTAAGTCATCATAAAAAATTATTACTAATATGAATTATTAATTTTCATAATATATGAAAAACAAACAAAAAACAAAACAATTTCATAGGAAACCAACAGATACCGACTACCAAAACATTTTTTTTCTGCTAGGTAAAGATAGTTCAAGACCCATCTCTAGTCACCTAACTCACAGATACTGTACATATGGAATGAAAAAAAAGAAAAAAAAAAATTCCTCCCCTCCTATTTATTTCAGGTACTTATATAGCGCCGTCAATTTATGCAGCGCTTTACATATATATTGTACATTCACATCAGTCCCTGACCCTCAAGGGGTGTACAATCTAAGGTCTCTAACTCACATTTATACATACACATACTAGGACCAATTTAGACAGGAGCCAATTCACTACCAGCATGTCTTTGGAGTGTGGGAGGAAACCGGAGTATCAGGAGGAAACCCACGCAGGCACAGGATCCCTCCTATCTTCCCTGATTTCACATGGTGTCCATAACAGACTGATATTCAGATGTACTTGGTACCAACCAGCCCCTTTCAGTGTGCAGTTCTCATAAGTACCCTTTTCAGTAGCTATCAAATTCTCCGCCTGATACATTTTATTTATTTTCGCCTACCATTGTTCCAGAGAGGGGCTTGACATTGTTTCCAGCAGGCATGTAATATAGGGGAGGGGAGTATCAATCTTTTATAAGATGTAGTTGAATCAGTATGATAGTGTAGCAAAAAAAGAACAGGATCTAGTTGGAGCGACTGGTTTGTCACTTTTTATGTAACACACAGGACCACCATCTAGAAAAGTCGCATGACCAAAAAGAGCAGGATCTAGTTGGAGAGACTGGTTTGTCAATTTTTATGTAACACACAGGACCACCATCTAGAAAAGTCGCATGACCAAAAAGAACAGGATCTAGTTGGAGCGGCTAGTTTGTCACTTTTTATGTAATACACAGGACCACCTCCCTCCAGAAAAGTCGCATTACCAAAAAGAACAGGATCTAGTTGGAGCGGCTAGTTTGTCACTTTTTATGTAACACACAGGACCACCATCTAGAAAAGTCGCATGACCAAAAAGAGCAGGATCCAGTTGGAGCAACTGGTTTGTCAGTTTTATTTTTTTGTGTAATACACAGGACCACCGTCCAGAAAAGTCACATGACCAAAAAAAGAGCAGGATCTAGTTGGGAGCAACTGGTTTGTCACTTTTTATGTAATACACAAAACCTCCCTCCAGAAAAGTCGCATTACCAAAAAGAACAGGATCTAGTTGGAGCGGCTAGTTTGTCACTTTTTATGTAACACACAGGACCACCATCTCTAGAAAAGTCGCATGACCAAAAAGAGCAGGATCTAGTTGGAGAACTGGTTTGTCACTTTTTATGTAACACAAAGGACCACCATCCAGAAAAGTCGCATGACCAAAAAGAGCAGGATCTAGTTGGAGCAACTGGTTTGTCACTTTTTATGTAATACACAGGACCTCCCTCCAGAAAAGTCGCATTACCAAAAAAAGAACAGGATCTAGTTGGAGCGGCTGGATTGTCACTTTTTCAGTAACACACAGGACCACCGTCCAGAAAAGTCGCATGACCACAAAAATGTAGTTGGTCCCCTTCCCACGTCTCCAGCAAAGATTGGAACTCACTGGGAATATTTTACTCAAGAGAGCTAGTGTATCTAGTGAGGATTTTAAAGCCTAATTCCTGGTATATCGAACATATTGAGGTCTTACGCAAAGAACGAAGAATTTCTGTCTAATTGTTGTAAGTTTCACAAGATCTGAAGATCCCGTCTTCATTTAGCTTTATATAGTGGTTTAAAAAAGGTGCCAAAATGTATGGCTCAAATCGCACCGCACAGAATTCGCATGCGATTTTCACAGAATGCGTTGCGGTTCCTGCACGAATCACATGCGACATGTCGCATGAACCCAGGCTTAGTGGGATGGCATGTTTAAGAGGCTCTGAAAAGTTGCAAAGCTGCTCAAAAGGTGTAAGAGTGCGCATATACGTGGATGTTAATGAGGACAAGTAATGAAACAAATGAACCTTGGTCCAGAAACTAAGAGTAGATAATCCAGAATGTAATGCCATTGACTCCATATTTAGCCCATACCCTATAAAATGTTGGGCTCTGCAAAATTCTGCCTCACCAGATTTTCAAGGTGTGGGTCCTCCAAGCCAGGATAAAAGTATTTATTCTATAAAAATCAGGGCTTTTTTTCAGCATGAACGCAGGGGAACGCAGTTCCGGCACCTCCAGCACTGAATGCATGTAATAACAAGGGGCGCTGGGGTGTGTTGGAAGGTTTTTGATGCTGGCTGTTGGGGGATCTATTGTCACTGGAGGGGATCTACTTTTACTTGGCAGTCTATTGTTGCTGGGGAGGTTTATTGTTGCTGGTGGGGATCTATGGTTGCTGGGGGGGTCAGTTTTGAGGGAGAGGGCCTATTGTTGCTGGCTGCTAGAGAGTCTATTGAGGCTGGCTTCTGGGAAATATGTTGTTGTTGCTGGGCTGGTATTTTGTTGCAAGGGTCCATGGCTGCATGTGGATCTATTGTTGCTGCTGGGGTTCTACTGTTGCTGCTGGCTGCAGGGGATTACTTAGCACCACAAATGATATTTGGCTCTGTATTCTCTAAAAATTCTCGATATGGGGAGGGGGATGGAACCAAGGGATGGTGCACAGAAGGGGAAGGGTGGGGTGGAAGAGACAAGAGGTGACTCAGAAGGAGGAGGGGGTTCCTGCACCTATTCTTGAGAAAAAAAGCCCAGTATATTACACAACCTTGGCTCCCCTCTTCAACCTGGTTAACAATGTCACACATCTTTCCTACACTTATCCTTAAGGCTCATTTAGGATTGTGGTTACGGAGGTGGAAAACACACAAGGTTAAGCTGCATTTTTACTGCCCCCTTAACTACTTGCCGACCGCAGATAGCCGAATGATGGCTGCACTACGGCCGGCCAGTTCTGGGTGGGCGTCATATGACATCCTCCCAGAACGCGCTCTCCTGAGCGCACCTCCGGGGGCGCACACCCGGCGATCTCTGTGATCGCTGTGTCCTACGGACACAGCTGATCACGTGATGTGGTAAAAGGCCAATTACAGCGGCCTTTTACCACGTGATCACTGTGTCCAATGACACGCTGATCACTGGGAAATGCAATTGCCGGTTCTCGGCTGTACTTTCCTCACGCTGTCAGATTGTGAGGAAAGTACTGCCGAGAACCGGCAGTTGTTAGAGCAAGGATCGGCACCGATCATTATGATCAGTGCCCTGATGATCGGTGCCTAGCAGTGCCACCCATAAGTTTCCACCCACCTGTGCCCAGCAGTGTGCCCACTAACTCCGCCCACCTGTGCCCAGCAGTGCGCCCACTAACTCCGCCCACCTGTGCCCAGCAGTGAATCCACCTGTGCTTAGCAGTTCACCCACCTGTGCCACCCAGCAGTGTCACACAAGTGTGCCCAGAAGTGCCACCCTACCTGTGCCCAGCAGTGCACCCACCTGTGCCCACACACATGTGCCCACCAGTGCCACCCACCTGTGCCCACCAGTGCCCATCAGTGCAGCCCAGCAGTGCTGCCAGTCAGTGGCACCAGTCAGTGCCCAGCGGTTGTGCCAATCAGTGCCCAGCAGTGCCGCCAGTCAGCAGTGATGCCAGTCAGTGCCTCCTATCAAAGCTGTCTATCAGTACCCATCATCAGTGTCGCCTATCAATGCCGCCTATCCGTGACACCTCATTAGTGCCGCCCATCATAGCCGCCTATCCGTGCCACCTCATTAGTGCTGCCTATCAGTGCCCCATCAGTGTGCCCATCAGTGCTGCCTATCAGTGCCGCCTATCAGTGCCCATCAGTGCTGCCTCATCAACGCACATCAGTGAAGGAGAAAAATTACCTGTTTGAAAATTTTGTATAATAGAAACAAAGAAACTTTTTTTTTTTTTCAAATTTTTTGCAATTTTTTTGTTTTCTAGCGCAAAAAGTAAAGCGCCCAGCGGCGATTAAATACCACCAAAAGAAAGCTCTATTTGTGAGAAAAAAATGATAAAAATTTCATATGGGTATAATTTGCGCAATTGTCAATCAAATGCGACAGCGCTGAAAGCTGAAAACTGGCCTGGTAAAAGAAATTGGCCGGGTATAAGTGCCTGGTAGTGGTTAAACAGCAAGTGCATCAAATAGGGATGTTCACATTCCAGCAAAAATTATCCCACCTGTCGCATTCAGCTGCCAGTAGTGATGCTAAACACAACCCATTCCAGTGAATGAGATCGGAGTGTAACTGCTCTGCAAGTGCGGCGTGGTGGTGCAGCAGTTACAAGGTTAACTCAGACATTGGGGAAGTGCGATATATCACCTCCTTGCTACCTGTCAAATTCCTCTGAAAAGTGATCTGAACATGTATCACTTTTCAGAGACGCAACAGTTTTGCTGTAGGACTAAACTTAGCCTGAAAGTTGCTCCTGCTTACCACCGTTCCAAGGACTTACACTACCTGTCTATGCTTCTGCCAGACCCAGGACTTGTGGCCCACGTGAAGATGCCCAGCCGCTGCATCAACTTCTCCTGGCTGGTCCCGAAGTCTTTTGTGCATGCGCAAAGTTAAGCCCCATGTACACAGGAACACTTCTGAACGATGGAAACTGACTGCTGGAAAAATGTAGGTTATAAACGTCTGTTTAGCCGCATTTGCATAACACATTTATCTTCGTTTATGTGCATTTGCGTTTAGAAGCGTTTTTTAAAGATAAGCACAGGAGAACCTCCCAAATGCCCAGAATTGCACTGAAAAGTGATAAATAATTAACTATTTCAGACTGTTTCAGAGAAATACAGAGAGTTGAAGCAGAAGCAGAGTATGTGTTGAGATTAGCTTAGGTGTGAGTTGCTCATTAACATTTCTTTTGTTTCCAAGGGTGGGAAAGGTGTCTGGTGGAGTCATTAAGGTCACCTGGCAGGGGTCTTCAGGAGGATTTTAACATTTGTTTTGTTTCCAAGGGTGGGAAAGGTGTCTGGTGGAGTCATTAAAGTCACCTGGCAGGGGGTCTTCATGAGGAATTTGAGGTGTGAATGGTCATTAACATATCTTTTGTTTCCAAGGGTGGGAGAGGTCTGAGGTGTGAATTGGTCATTACAATGTGTGACAAGCTTGGTAGGAACATCCTGTGTTCAGTGTTTTGTCCATCTGATACCTTGAAAACACTTTGCATGCATTTTTCATGATGAAAAAAGTCTCTGGACAGCATCGGGAACTGTAAGAGTTAAAAAAAATTTTCAACACACGCTTATAAACGCGATTTGGCACGTTTACAAGCGTTTTGCGTTTGAAACCCTGATAAAATCAACTGCTGAACTCTAGTCTTCTGCGTTCAAAAAAATGTAAACTCAACTGCCTAAAAAACGACTGTAAATGAAGATGTGTACATGGACACATAGGAGAACATTAGGGGGAGTTCAGGGGCTGTGGAAAAAACGCTGAACATCTCCTGTTCAGTGTTTTGTCCATCCAAGTACCTTGGCTTTACATTATGATGAAAAAAGGCTCTTATCGGGAACTGGAAAAGATTCTGGGCTTTCACGATTTGCAGCGTTTACAAGCGTTTTGCAATTGAAACACTGATAAAAACTGCTGAACGCAAGTTTTCTGCGTTCAAAAAAATGACTGTAAACTCAACTGCCTGTAAAGGACTGTAAATGATGATGTGTACATGGACATTCTCTGAACATTAGGGAGAGTTCAGGGGCTGCTGAAAAAACACTCAACATCTCCTAAACGTGCGTTTATCAGCTGCAGTGTACATGAGCCTAATTGGGACAAAAGATAGATGACCTCTCCATGGGAATGAATAGGACTTGGACAGTGCATTCCCAGAAGACTTCAGGACCGGCCAAGCAAAGTTGTGTAACTCTCCGTGTGTCGCATAGCATACATGATCTGCCGGGATCTTGGACAAGCGAGTTTAAGGCTCCATGTACACTGCAGCTAATAAACTCACATTCAGCAGCTGTTCAGCATTTTTTCCAGCAGCCCCTGAACCCTCCCTAATGTGTTCCTATGTGTCCATGTACACTATGTCATTTACAGGCAGTTGAGTTTACAGTCGTTTTTTTGAACGCACCAAACTTGTGTTCAGGAGTAGATTTTACCGGCGTTTCAAATGCCAAACATTTGTAAACGCGTGTAAATTCAGTTAACCACGTTTAGAAGCGTTTTTAACTGTTCCATAACCAAATGCTGTCCAGAGCATTTTTTTCATCATCAGAAATGCATGCAAAGTGTTTTCCAGGTACTCAAATGGACCCGGTACACAAACACAGTCAGTTCCAGGTTTCGTGTGAAGGAAAAAATGGTAGAACGTGCCGCATTCTGCTCATGATGGGATCCATAGTGAATACAACCAGAAAAGACAGGTCATCTCAACACATACTGCTCTCTCTGCTTCTGCTCTCTCTATTCCTCTCAAAATATCTGAAATAGTTAATTTTTTTACTGTTTTTCAGTGCATTCTGGCCATTTGGAAGGTCTACTTAGGTTATCTTTTAAAAAACACTTCTAAATGCAAAATGCGCATAAACGTGGTATGCAAACGCGGCTAAACTGCCATTTTTTAACCTACGTTTTCCAGCAGTCAGTTTCCATCGTTCAGAAGAGTCTTCCAAACACCCCATGTACATGAGCCCTAAGACTGTGGGGGTGATGGGAAGGGTGATTTAAGGAATAAGTGTATGAAAATTACGTTGTAATGCTAACAGGAACACACTCAACAACTGGCAGTTGCAGGTCCATGTATTACTTCCATGTAACCTCCATTACATGGGGATAGGGAGAATAGTAGAGAACATTCAATGTGCTTTCTGACATTCTTGCAAGAAGGGAAATAAAAACCTGACAGAGGCTCTAATTCTAATTTTAAAACTTAAAGCGATTCTAAAGGTTTTTTTTTTTTTGTAAAGTAACAAACATGTCATACTTACCAACTGTGTGCAGTCCGGATCCTCCTCTTCTTGGGTCCGCCACAGGCTCTCCTGGCCCCTCCCTCCTGTCGGGTGCCCCCACAGGAAGCAGCTTGCTATGGGGGCACCTGCTGCTCCGTGTGTCCATTCACACACGGAGCCATGGCTCGTCCCCCCCCCTCCCTCCTCATTGACTGACTTTTTTTTTTTGTAAAATAGCAAACATGTCATAGTTACCAACTGTGTGCAGTGGTTTTGCACAGAGCAGTCTGGATCCTCCTCTTCTCGGGTCCCCCCACAGGCTCTCCTGGCCCCTCCCTCCTGTCGGTGTGTCCCCACAGGAAGCAGCTTGCTATGGGGGTACCTGCTGCTCCGAGTGTCCATTCACACACAGAGCCGTGGCTTGTCCCCCCCCCCTCTCTCCTTATTGATTGATTGGTTGTGATTGACAGCAGCAGGAACCAATGGCTCCTGCTTGCTGTCTCAGCCAATGAGGAGGCAGAGACCCGGGACAGCCGAGGCTGTCCTGCACATCGCTGGATCTTGATGGGGCTCAGGTAAGTATTGAGGGGGCTGGGGGAGCTGCTGCACACAGAAGGTTTTTTTACCTTACTGCATAGAATGAACGTAAAAAAACCTTGATACTTTACAACCACTTTACATTTAATCAAAATGAAAAAAATGAAAAAGGGGCATAGCCAGGGGTGGACTGACCATTTGGAAACTCGGGCACTGCCCGAGGGCCCAGGGTCAGTAGGGGGCCCCATGAGATGCCCCTGGTACCCTTTTCATAGGCTTTTTTTGAGTTTGGGCAAGGACACAGGGGCCCCATGATCCCCTATTGCCCGGGGCCCCATGATGTGTTCGCCCCTGGGCATAGCTTATAATTATTGTGATGTGTGCCTCGTACTGCTGGCTGGGGCTTTAGTGGAAAACTTCCTTCCTCAAATGCCCCCCTACTTCCGCCGCTGTAATCATCCAATGTGGCAGGGGTTAATAGAGCTGGGGGACCTGTTGACTATGCCTGCCTTTTTTCCACCCGCTTCCTCCATTTATAGAAGCTGTACTATCTCCTATGAATAAAACATGATCTATGAATGGAGGATGGGCAGATGAATGAAAGGTATCGATCGCATTTCATCGATGGAAGTGATAGTACAGCTTCTAGGAATAGTAGATCTGGGCAGAAAGAGCGGGCATGGTTAGCACTCTTAATGACTGCATATGATAGGTCCCTTGGCTCTATTAACCCCCGCAGCTCTGGAAGATTACAGCTGCAGAGGTAGGAGAGCATTGGAGGATGGAAGATATCAACTAAAGCTCCATCCAGCAGTACAAGGGGCATATTCAATGATTGTAAGGCTTCATGTACACAAGCAGCTTCTAAACTCAAGTTTAGGAGCTTTTGGCATTTTTTTGCCAAAGCTCCTAAACTCAACTCCATAAAAGCCCATCTGTCCATGTACACATGGGCTTATAGCAGAGTTTAGGAGCTGCTGTGGTTAGATGAGGTTAAACCTTCCCTCTTCTGAATTCGGAAGAATCGTGTTCAGGATAAGAAGGTTTTGACTGCCGACAACAGGAAAACGTGAAACTGCGGCAAAAACGTGGTACTGCGATTGCTGCTGTTTCGCCCTGATTTGCGTTTCCCACTGCCAGTGGTCAGGGTAGGCTCGTGTACATGGAGCCTAAGGCATGTACACAAGCAGCTCCTAAACCCAAGTTTAGAAGCGTTTAGCATTTTTTTGCCAAAGCTCCTAAACTCTGCTAAAAGCCTATGTGTCCATGTACAGATGGGCTTTTAGCAGAGTTTAGGAGCTGCTGCGTTTAGGTGAGGTTAAACCTCCCTCTAGTGAATCGCGTTCAGGATAGGAATGTTTTGACCACTGACTGCGGGAAAACGCGGCAAAACTGCGGCAAAACACGGCAACCACGATGCTGTCTTTTTGCTGCATTTGCAGTTCCCCACGGCCGGCGATCAAGGTAGGCTTGTGTACATGAAGCCTAAGAAGTGTCCCTTGTGTTCATTTTTTTTTCTGATTTTTGACTAAACTTTGTCTTTAAGGATATGCTGATTTATAAAGTCTGTAAATTAAAACTAGAGCAAAAGTGAAGGCCTGTGAGAAGGGTTGGTGGTAAAAGTTGGATTCCTTATTTTCATTTTAACCAGTTTTGGACTTTGGGTGTGAAATGTACAACCAAAAAAAAAAAACGCCATCAAAATACCTATGCCAAATGTTCTGTCCTTCACCCCCACCGGTGTCCCCCTCCTACTGCCACACTTGTGCTTAGAACACCATCAATACCAACAAAACAAAACTTTGTTTGCATAGAAAAAATGATATCTCTAAATCACATGGTGGGGGGAGATGATGTGGGGATCCATCCTTGCCAGGAGAATACAGTGATTATTGCGAGTGGCTACAGCTGCTGGCAATAATCGCATGCTGACAATCCAACATGCTAGTTGTTCTCAAGTCGATCGCTGGATCCACTTGGATACAATCAGCCTGCCCATAGTTGGTTGAATCTCAGCCACTCCCTGCTGAACCAGCCAAGATTCAAAACCATCTATGGACGGCTTAATACTCTTAAGGTATCTTAGGTGCAAACAGGTGGTACACAAGTGCAAGAACTGGTTTTGCTCATTTTTTATACCGCAATAATTACACAAATTTGTACTTTTGTTTAAACTATAGTATGCAAAAGACAAGTATTATTTACTAAAGCCGGAGAGTGCAAAATCAGACTCACTTCTGCATAGAAACCAATCAGCTTCCAGGTTTCATTGCCAAAGCTTCATTGAACAAGCTGAGGTTAGAAGCTGATTGGTTTCTATGCAGAAGGGAGTCTGATTTTGGACTCTCCAGCTTTAGTAAATAAACCCCGTATTGTCTAAAAAACACTCCCCCATTTCACAGTGAGAACATCCTCCAGGCTGCTGTGGTCCACATGACAGGAGTAAGTGTCTCCCTCCTTGGTTGGCACTTCCACACTGACTCTGATCTGATAGGTGCCATCAGGATGGGGGAGAATTGGAGTCATTTCATCTGAAGGAACATGGTCCACCCCATTCCTCATCCACATCACATCCACAGCTCGGGGGTGAAACCCGTACACCAGGCAATGAAGCTTTGTTATGCCATCCAATTTCTGACTTGAGACCTTCACCTCTGGAGCAACTTAAAAGCAAAATAAAGCAAGAACTAATCTGAATGTATAATGTAATATATTTAACTCAATAAGTATACTTGTGTCTCTTTGGAAGAGACCATATAACAAAACGTTAGGCTGTGGTGGGAGCATAGAGCACTGGTTTCTTTAGAAAAGGGCTGTTGTCTGTGTGTGAGAGAGCCGGGGTCTGACCCTCCAGTGTGCCGCCAGTACATAACCTTTGCTGCAGAACTCAAAATATGAAAAATACGGAAAGAATTGCATATTTATTATTGTATACACAGCCCAACTACATTACAGTTATAAATACTGAGGCTTTAATTTTGCTTTAAATTGTATCTCTATATACTGAAACACTAGCCAGTAGGGCAAGGGGCACCTTGGATTATTTACTAGAAGCTGTGTTTCCACGTTCCCTATTTTTTGACACCCACTTCACACCACCCTGGTCAGTTATGATTGTTCATCAATTGTACCAGCAACAGGAATGCCGCACACAGAGATGCAAAATAATATTCTTTCTTTATTAAAATAGCCAACAAGAACCACTTCTGTTCTGACATGTTTTGCGCTAGGCACAGCACTAAAACATGTCTAGAAATAATTTTTCTGCTGCTTCTGAGAGGTGCAGTTGACATCTCCATGCTTCACTGCTATAGGCAAGAGATCTGGGTTCTTGAAAACCTGTTAGATGGTACTTCAGCACAGAGCAGGAATGTATTCTAATGGGATTCTGAACACCCGCTATCTTGACATGTACATTCACTTTAAAACCGCTTGCCTGCTGCCCTATAGCAGAAATACAGCTACAGGGCGGCACGGCTGCTCAAAATCACGTATATGTACGTGATTTTGCATTTCCAGGTAGGGGACGCCCTACCCACACTGCCATTGGTGGCTTCAGCTGTCAATCAACGGGTCACCGCCAGTGATCCTCTGACATCCAGTGATGCCGAGTATCACTGACGCGGGAGAGGTCTGAATGCAAACAGTACAGATCTCTCTCCTGTCAGCTCCAGCACGTTGCTTTGTATTGCTCTGCTATGCAGAGCAATACAAAGCAGCATGCTTACTCTGTAAAACACAGCACACAGTAAAGCAACACACAGCACACATTTAACCCTTTGATCGCCCCAGATGTTAACCCCTTCATGCCCAATGCCATTAGTACAGTGTCAGTGCTTTTTATTAGCACTGATCACTGTATTGGTGTCACTTGGGATGTCAGTGAGAGTTAGTCAGTTCCCCCCCAGTGTCAGAATGCCTGCCACAGTCCCGCTATAAGTTGCTGATCGCTGCCATTACTAGTATAAAAAAAAAAAATTCCAGTATATATACCGCCATTTGTAGACGTTATAACTTTCATGTAAACCAATTAATTTACACTTATTGGGATTTTTTTTTAGCAAAGACATGTCGCAGAATACATTTAGCCTAAATTGATGACAAAATTTGATTTTTTTTTTAACTTTTTTTACTGGAGATGTTTTATAGCAAAAAGTCAAAAATATTGTTTTTTTCTGAAAATTGATGGTCTTTTTTTGTTTATAGCGCAAAAAAATTAAAACCGCAGAAATGATCAAATACCACCAAAAGAAAGCTCCATTTGTGGGAAAAAAAGACAAATTTCATTTGGGTGCAGCGTTGCATGAAAGCGCAATTGTCAGTTAAAGTAACGCAGTGCCGTATCGGAAAAAATGGCCTGGTTGGGAAGGGGAGGTAAATCTCTGGAGGGCAAGTGGTTAATGCCCAGGGTGACTCCATTGGTGCATGTGTATAGTGTGTTTCTATAGGAGAATTTTAGATTGGAGAATTTATTCCTACCTCTTTTCTCCAGATCTTCTCGTCCATAGTCAAGGTACTTCTTGAGCGCTCTGGTGCAGTGTTCAGTAAGGTAGGATTTCACACCCTCACCAATATCACTGTCACTGTTCCACCTCTGAGCGCTGATCTCTGCCTTCTGCATGGACGGAATCCACAGCAAGGTGTCTTGATCAAGTATCAAGAAGTCTTTCCCATCAAAGCCATACTGATAGTATCCATTTGTGCCTTCATCATCTTGCAGGGTGCAGCCATAAAAGAGCTGAAGAGTATGGGATCCTGTAGAGAGTGCAAAACACGAGGTACGTGGATTATAGCAGCAGGATAGGAATGTACCAGTTTCTATAGGATTACCACATACACCATTTTGCTGTTTGTTACAATAAAACGTTCTTTTGTTTCAAATGTCACTTAAAGTTGTAAAGGATCAAGGTTTTTTATGTTCATTCTATGCATGATGGTAAAAAACCTTCTGTGCGCAGGAGCTCCCCCAGCCCCCTCAATACTTACCTGTTCCCCATCAAGATCAAGCGATGTGCACGACAGCCTCAGCTGGGTTTCTGCCTCCTCATTGGCTGAGACAGCAAGCAAGAGCCATTGGCTCCCACTGCTGTCAGTCACAGCCAGTCAGCCAATGAGAGAGAGAGAGGGGGCGGAGCCAAGCTGAGGCTCCTTGTTTGACTGGACACACGAAGCAGCGGGTGCCCCCATAGAAAGCTGCTTCGTTTTGAAAGGGAAGTTTTACTTTGCAAGTGGACTGTCCCCAGAGCTTAGCAAATGAGGTGCCATTTTACTTTGTAAAGAATACCCAATCAGGTGAAAACAGCATTTCTGCTTGCACGTGATTGGATGATGGAGGTCAGCAGAGTTTTTCTTCATTCACTTAGCTCTGAGGATAATTATTGTGCAAATTGCAAGTTCCTTAACAAAGTGAACAGCCTATTTGTCTTTAGTATATCATCCCCAGTTTGTGTTTAATCCTGTTGAGTTAATCTAGTGTGCAGAGCCGGTGCTAGATTAGTTTCCGCCCTGTTGAGTTAATAGGCAAGACCAGCTACTTGTGTACCCCCCCCCCCCCCCAAAAAAAAAAAAACACATTTTTTTTAAAACAGAAAATATTAACTGCTTTCCCGCAGCCCTATAGCATATATACTGCTGCAGGGCAGGAGGGGTGTGCAAAATCATGTGTATATATACATGATTTTGCATTTCTGGGTAGGTGGTGCACGCGCCCTATCCACGCCTCTATTCACGGCCTCGGCTGTCATTCACCGGGTCTCGGCCAGTGATTACTTGTTGGCACCCGGTGATCGTCGAGCATTACCGACGGAGGGAGAGAATTGTATGTAAACAATACAGTTCTCTCCCCTGTCAGCTCCAGAATACTGCTTTGTATGGCTCTGCATAGCACAGTTGTACAAAGCAGTGTGCTTACAGTTGAAAGCACTAACACAGCCCACAATAAAACAGCACACAGTTAACCCTTTGATCGCCCCAGATGTTAACCTCTTCCTGCCCAGTGCCATTAGTACAGTGTCAGTGCTTTTTGTTAGCACTGATCACCATATTGGTGTCACTGGGGATGTCAGTGACACCAAGTCAGTTCCCCCCAGTGTCAGAATGCCCGCCGCATTCCTGCTATAAGCCGCTGATCGCCACCATTACTAGTAAAATAAATAAATAAGTAAAAATCCCAGTATCTATACCGCCATTTATAAAAACTATACCTTTCACTGAAACCAATTACTTTGCACGTATTGGGATTTATTTTAGCAAAGACACGGAGCAGATAATATTCTGGCCTAAATTTATGATGAAATTAGATTTTTTAAATTTCTTTACTGGACATGTTTAACAGCAAAAAGTCAAAAAAAATAATGTTTTTTTCTCAAAATTGTCAGGCTTTTTTTTTTTTTTATAGTGCAAAAAAATAAAAACCGCAGAGGTGATCAAATACCACCAAAAGAAAGCTCAATTCGTGGGAAAAAAAGGACATAAATTTCATTTCAGTGCAGTGTTGCATATGGTCAGATGAACAAAACATGAAACTACTACATGTCTTTTAATTTGCAAAAATAAGTGCCATAAGATGCCACCGGCACCACTATGAAAGACAAAATCAGTGACACGGATGGGCTGTATCTGTGGCTGGCAGTGGCAGGGTGACAGTTGCAGTGAGTGGAGGATGATGGATCCACACTGACAGATCCCAGATCTGCCAAACTTCTTCCTGTGTGACGCCCGGTTTGTGGTTCACACTGCTTACAGGTACGTCCAGTTCCAGTTGGACGACGGTGCCTGGGACTCCTGACCATCCACAGCAGCCTAGGATCCCCGCTACCACCCACAGCGGTTAGCACCCCACCAGACGGACCCCTGCAGGACAAGGATCCCAGCTATACTGATGGGCTGTTTTATCACTTCCACATTGTGAGTTTTATCATTTGTGGCTTATTAAATATCTTTTTATGCTGCACTTACAAGGCGCCTCTTTCTTTCTTTATTCAATTCACAAAATGTAAGTCCTCACGCACACGGGATGTTTTTACAGCGGCTGTTTTTGGCTTTTGATGTTTTTTTCTACAGCCAGTAAACCCCCAGCATGTTATCCTAGGTGTCCATGCACACATAGACTGTAATCAATGTTTTTTGGCTGGAAAAAACCCAGGACTAGTGGGTTTCTTGAGGATTTTTTTAGCTGTAAAAACGCTCTAATGCTGAAAAACGCTGAAAAACACGGTTAAGTTGGGGTAAATCGCGAGAAACCAGCGTTTTTGGACATTTTTTTGACTAAAATTTTTTTTTTTTTTTCGTTAAAAAAAAAAACACGGCAAAACTCTAATGCAAAAATGCTAAAAAAAACCACCAAAAAAACCTCACGTTTTTAACGTGACTTTACATAGCTAACATTTCCAGCATTATTAAAACGCCCCGTGTGCATGGAGCCTAATACCTGTTTAGTGTTTTGTGTAGGGGGGTGTACTAATGTGTCGATTATATTGCCTATCCCGGGGTTCTTCTTTAATTGTTAAATGAAGTGAATATTCACACACTTTATCCCTACAGCTGTTATAATTTCTTTTTCCCTTGATAAATTTTAGGTTGTGTTACTTACTTCTTGTGTAGTTGAACCGACTGACCAGGATCAGTAAGTTGTCTCTGAACACTTTTTCCCATCCTTTGCGCAAAGAGGTCTGCCTTTTCCAGTAATCATCGTCCTCGTTCTCCATCCAGGAAACCATTGGAATATCCTCATGACTTTCACTGCTATACTTATCAATCTCCTGATCGTTCACATATCCCACCGTTTCAAAGTGATAATGGACTTCCTCTGGGTAGTACACACCAGTATGGCGGTAACTCAGCGTATGACTATCTGAAGGATGTACAGAATATTGTCAGTGTTCTATGTCTTCCCCATCACTCACTGTACTGAGAGATGTATGTTGTAAAACTGAACTACAAATAAACACTTTAACATTCAATAGCATTCGATTTACAGGACAGTGAGTTTTGCAAGTAGATGCGCTTCATCAGGACCAAAGGTATAAAAGACGGTAGAATATACAAGTAACAAACAGAAAGTTGATGTTGCGCTAATCACAATAATGCCACAGACATTCCAAAACAAATAATGAGAGGAGAAGACAATAGATAATACACCATAACATAATCAGTAAATGGAAGGAATATGGGAGTAAAGGGAAAGGATGAAATAATAAAAGTCCAAAATGAGGACCAAAAGGTGTAACAGACAATAAACTGTGACCGTGGGCAAAACGAACGGAAATGATCAGGAAAAAATAAAATATTAACTAAATCACAGCTATAGTGGTACATATGAGTCCGTCATAACATAAATGAAACAATGTGAATACAACTGTTGATAGAGTGGAGCAAATTGTGGAAAATACAAAATGAAGTGCTTACTATTAAAAGTGGACAAACCACTATATCACAGAAAAATGACAATAACAATGCACAGTGAGGCCAAAAAATGTGACCATGCGACTAAAGGGTCATAACACAATGTGCATCAAAAGGCCATGTGACATAACACGACTAATAATTGACCATATAAATACCATAAATAAATGTGGCAAACATATACAGTATAGAGTGCAACTAGTATAATACAGAAAATGGTGATATAAACGCACAGTGAAACCAAATGAATGTATTACTGTGCACCGTAAAATACAATAACACAATGAAGAAATAAATAACATGTGACTAAAAAAATCATAAATGAGACATAAAGTCCATGTGCAAAAACGTTCAACAAAACGGCATAAAAAAAAAAAAAAAAACACAACGTGGATTTGTAAATGATTGTTGAATCCCACACCGGCTAAATTGCCTCCTCACCTCCGCGCCCAGACCCCAAGGGGCCAAAAGGCTTTCAGAACACTCACTGCAGGAGCCCTTTAAGTGGAATCCCAAATGGCGATGTAGGGATGATATCTCCCTCAATGGTGGACCATACTGTTCAGCGGTGGTACTATATCCACTGGATCAACATTGTAGTGTAGTGTGAGTCTACCAGACTAGACATCATTGAAACCAATTTTTAGGTCTGACCTACATTATATACCTATTTGTTGATTCTTCCAGATCAGCAAAGCAACGGTTGAAATTATTTTCATGTCTCAGGGAACCCCTTGTAAAATTGATTTTCCTGGTGCATCATACAATGGGTTGTGGCTCCGTCCCAATAACCTGATAGGACTGGTTAACTATAAATCAAAGACAGGTCCGGCTCGCAGCATTCTCCTTTTTGTCCTCACCTGATCAGGACCGGAATCAAGAGGTATCCCTTACTGCTTGTCCCCCCAGCCAGGTTCAGCTTCTCCTGGGTGGAAGTCCTTTCCATACAGCCTCTGGATGAATTACATGGTTAGAGCTCCATTCTGGTGGTGGAGGTCTGTCAAAGAAAGCTTTAAACAAGCTTTGGAGTAAGTGGCAGCATTTTCCATTTGTTTCCCTTTTTTTCTCTGTTGTCAGTGTTTTTTTTCTTGCACTTGTTGTGTTGTGGGCTTTTGCCATTTCCAAGACGGCTGAAGTAGTGTACCCCATGAAAATGATGTGGCCATGGTGGGAAGTTTGTCCTTGCTTGCCCTTTTCCAAAATGGTTCTGGGAGCCGAGATTGCGATCTGAGCATGTTTGGGTGCTGATATCATCACTGATGGCCGGGGGTGCCATTTTAAACGGATTTAAGGCATTTTTGCTGGCTCAGCTCATGACAGTAGAATTTCAAAAGTTTGTTGTGCAGGTGCATACCAAACATTACAAATTTTTTCTTGGACCCTCCTCTCTGGCGAGATAATTCCCATTGTATGCTGCCATGATGCGCCAGGAAAATTGTATACTCACCTCTCTGTAATTTTCTTTTCCTGGTGCATCTTCATGACAGCATACAGAATCCCATCCAAATGTTGAGAGTTGGCCGGGTCTGCCTTTGATTTATAGTTAACCAGTCCTATCAAGTTGTGGGGACAAAGCCACAACCCATTGAATGCTGTCATGAAGATGCACCAGGAAGGGAAGATTACAGAAAGGCGAGTATACAATATTCTGTTATATAGAATAGTACCATAGGTTGTCGATAAATCAAGGTCTTCACCTACATCTAATTAATAAAAATGGATGTGTAGAAGGATTCAGGACTGTAAAGGTGCTTAACTGTACGTAAGATATTATTAACACAGAAAATTTCTTTAAAATTTGATGTTTTGAGTTACACAATTAAAATATAATCTCTATAAAATTTCAACCTTACATATAGTATGGTTGACAACAATTTTTTACAGCAGTACATTCGTTTTTATGTAGTCCCAACATGCTTCGCCCAATGGGCCTTCTTCAAATGACCGCTGGTTGTTCAGAGGTATATACAAAAAATATATACAAGAAAAACTACAATGTACAAACAATCATATTATTTAATATTATGTTCATTATATCTGCAGCTAATAGCCCATCATGCTTACCCATATATTTTCTTTTAAAAAAAGAAGAGTTTTCAGATAATGACATCAGTTAAGGTCCATAAGTGATCACAGTGGGCATAATAGGACCGAGCTGTAAAGAACTGGAATGATTACAAGTCTGTAGAATAAAAAACACGCAGTGGACTAAAACATCTCTGACTATAGTTCCAATACTTACTTACATAACTTTTGAAAAAAAGGACCACAAGAGGGTGCCCAAATAGTGAAGAAACACTAGTCTCAGCTTCCATAAATTGGTCTATACAATGAGGTTATACTCCTTTCTGTAAAGAATGTCTAGGAATGTGGGCAGTTCCTTGCGGGTGTCCGGCCATACAATCAGTATGTCATCGATATAAAGATGCCAAGTGATGATCAAATTAAGATAAGAATTAATATAATCTAGAGCAAAAAGATTACGCTCCCACCCCCCCCCCCCCCAGGTACAGGTTGGCGTACAATGGGGCACATCGTGTCCTCATCACCTGGAGGTAGTGGGAGCGTCCAAACATAAAGCGCTCACTTCTTTAAAAAAAAAAATCTGAATTATTGATAAAGCCAGCAGACAAAAGGAGGAAACTTGGTAATCAAGTGAGGGTAATGCTGTCCTAAATGCAGGTAATGTTCCTTGCACCAAGAGCCTGTTGGATCCA